GTAAGAAGACCGCTAAAAGGTTGGATTATTAGTTTCCATTTTTTCATTTATCTTTCCAGCTACATTAGTAAAATTCTCTAAAGGGTGTATTGATTAAGGACTTAATGTAATTTTTTTAAAAATGATTTGGATTTTACAAGTTTATGTGTATTGAATTTTAAAAGGAATCAAATGCGAGTTTTTTAAAGTTGGATACTTCAGCAAAAAAAAAGGATGACACCACATCCCTTAAGGCCCCCAACACCGACCGGACGGCACGATGGGAGGGTGTAAATTGGACTATAATCACAATCTGACAGATAGAGAGTGGGGCTCTGTTACCGGTACTTGCAGAAGTCCTATGCATTTTTCAGCATAGTAACCCCTCATCGCAGTTCAGCCGAACGTGAGGAGTCTTTATCACTCAATCCGAACGTGAGGAAACCAACAGAAAAATAAGCAGTCTGATCATGAAAAATAAATTGTAAGCAAACAGTAAAAGTAAATATATGCTTTCAAACCCTAGCCTCTCCTGCACTCCATGGCTGCGGTTCAGGAGGGGAACACAGTTCAGCCGAACGTGAGGAGTCTGACTCTTGCATTAAGACTCAGTGGATACTACAGCAGTTCAGCCGAACGTGAGGAGTCTCTCAGCTCTTTCTCTCTCTAGGGTGGTTTCCATTATTAGGGTTTTTTCTTCTGCTATCGTTTCTAACGAGGGCTGCCACAGGCGGGCTTAGACGTATAGGGTTTCTTCTTCCACCATCAATTGTGCGACTATATTTCTTCTTTTGCCTTGGCGAGATTAAGCGGAGGGAAGAAGATGTTTGGTCTCCAGCGGCCGAAGGTTGTGCAGGGATGGGAGACGGATGATTGGTCTCAAGCGGTCAAAGGTCATGGACGAAGCATGAGGCTAGCGGCTGGAACAGGTCTGGAGTCGAGTTCATCCACGTTAGGTGGCGACAGAGGAGGTTTGATAGAGAACATGATGAAAAAGAGACAAGGTGAGGAAGAAGCTACAGTATTGTTGGATCGTTCCCCTCCTGAACCGCAGCCGTGGAGTGCAGGAGAGGCTAGGGTTTGAAAGCATATTTTTACTTTTACTGTTTGCTTACAATTTATTTTTCATGATCAGACTGTTTATTTTTCTGTTGGTTTCCTTTATTGTTGTAAGACTCTTGCATTAGGATTGAGTGATGAGAGGTCTGTTTTAACCGTCGTTGGCTTATTTGTGCCCATTATAGGATCAACAAGTTATATTGTTTTTTTGGAGATGATCGAGTCTAAGTCTGGTTCGAGGGTCGGCAGTTGTTTGTGGTCTTTTTATCGTTTTACCCCCTATTTGAATGCTATGATAGTAATTTAATCCATCCATTTTGACGATAAAAAAAAGTTTACGTGTATTACGTATTGACTATATATTGAGTAATGATTATATATTTTTAAGAGTTTAACAAAGTCTAGATGTATCGAAACTTTCATTCATTCTTATAGACTTTAAGATCATGGATTGTGGTCAGTGACGGATCCAACGTGGGTGCAGGGGGCAGCTGCCCCCACTCAACCCCACCCAACCCCTATATATATATATATATATATATATATATATATATATATATATATATATATATATATATATATATATATATATATATATATCAAATATAAATTATACATGTAGAATTGTATTAAATAAATGTATCTTATAGGTACTCCTAGGGCTCGGCCGCTAGGGTTAGCATCTCCGATCTCGGCTCTTGGCCAGGGATCGGGTATCGGTTTAGCAAGGAAGAGGCTCCTGGAGATCCAAAGCGTAGAAGGATATGGGATGACCAGACTGAAGAGGGTGCAGATGGCGAAGGGATGACTCTAGATGGGCCAAAAAATGGGGAGGGGGCGGGTCAGGTCTCCTAGACTCGCCTTATCTCTATTGGGCGGCAGTGGGGAAGAAAACTTACAATGGTGCTTTTATTATTGTCTGCTTTGGTTGCTTTAAATTAGGTTGCTTTGTTATGTTTTGCTTTTGTGATTTTATTCCTTGTAAGACTCTTGCATTAAGGTTGGGGGAGGGAAAGTCTGCGGTAAACGTCATTGGCTTTAAGTTGCCCAATTTTGGTCTAGCGAGTTATACTGTTTTTTTTACACGTGGTTAGCTCTCAGTCTCGGCCACGGGCGGATGGTTATTTGTGGTTCTTTTCTAGTTTGGTATCCTTGTTGAATGCTATTTTTATAAATTAAGCCTTCTTTGAGCAAAAAAAGGGAGAAAACAGCTAAATGTTATGTTATCTGACTGGTGGTTCTCTCATGCGCGGAACAAATTGGTTGAATAGGTCCAGGGTTTGAATTTCAATTTACGTTTTTCTATTTTGGTTTGTTTTGCCCTTTTAAGCTCTAAAGTAATTTAAAAGTGATTTGACATTGTATTCAAATTTTAGCTTTTTTAAACCACTTCAATATAATTACAAATCACATGATTTGTGATTTGTAATGGTTACTACCTCCCTCCAATACAAAAAGATCATGTCCACTTTTCTCTGGTCAATGTAAAAATATCTTAATCTCTTACTTTATAAATTTTTAATGTATTTTTTGAATATTTATTTTTTTACTGTAAAATCTAATTATGGATATGGATCAGTTTATTTATGATCAGTCAAACATCACAAATCGTGTGAGAACCTCTCTACGAGAAGGATGAAATACATTATTACACGTAATATATATATATATATATATATATATATATATATATATATATGGAGTACTGATTTTTAATATACTTGCGAATTCACAGCTTAGTTAAATTAATTCTAAATACATATTTGATTCATTCCTTATTTGATTTTTCATGTTAACATAATTCTGAATAAATTATAAACTATGTGATTAGAATTTATTTTTAGCAAAGTTAAATTTTATATGCCATGATTTTTTTTTTAATTATGATATCGTAATATTTTTTCCCACAAATATTTTGTTATTTATAATTGATTTTACACTATTTTTTCTTAATGTGATCATTGTTTATGATCATGGGATGCGTGAAATAATTAATGTAGGTTCGCCCTCGCTGACCAAAATTCCTAGATACGCCATTGATTGTAGTGAATTTTTAATTAATGATTATTATATTAATTCTCTTTTGTCTTCTCCTCCCTAAAGATTTATGTGTATTTTTTCTTTTGTCTTCTTAAAGTACCGGGTTGGGAGGTGGGTAGGAAGATGGTCACCACATGCATGGTTTGAAAATTAAAACTTGATATTTTTTAATCATATTAACATAAATATAATTTGAACAATGAGATTGTATATCAATATCGTACACAATATAATCTTAAATATATTTTTTTAAATATCATATTTAGAAGAAAAAGTAGGGGTGTGATTGTTTCATTTTATGAAAGAAAATTAGGAACCATTTGAAACTGTTAATCCAAATTTGGTTCAGCACTATTTTTTCTTGAAGAACCAATATAAAAACAGATTGTGCCATATCGGCTTAATTCTTATATGTTACCTATTACCAATTTAAATAAAAATATATACAACCAATTTAGCCATAAAGAAGGAAAAAAAATTAACAAATTAAAAAGTGAAAAGAAATAAATGTTATAAAGAAGAATTTATTATATTTATGCTCGTAACGCATGTAACAATGATTGTGACAATTAGAACTTGGGTCTGGATAGCAAGGAATGACTAAGGAGAGTTTGTCAAGGCCCTCTTAGTCTGGAGTAAGGTGGTTTCCTCTCCAGTTGAAACAAAAGAAATGGGCATCAACTCATCCAGTATGCCATACAAAGAGCAATACATGAAGGCCTCTTAGTCTGGAGTAGGGCGATTTCCTCTCCAGTTGAAACAAAAGAAATGGGCATCCACTCATCCAGTATGCCATACAAAGAGCAATACATGAAGGTCTATGAAGGGTGGAGTGGAGTTGACTAGTTGAGATTGAATTTGATGCCCTCACTGTGTTACAAGAAATAAAAAAAGGATTATATAATCATTGAGGATATTACACAGCTTAATCAAACAAGGATTAATATTTGCATCTCTTTTTGTAAGTTGTGCGAATCGTCTGGTCACAGTGTCACTTCGTTGCCATTAAATCTACAAGTCATTTGTTACTTTGGAAGGAATAATGATATAATTAAATTGGGAAAACTGTCAAATAGGTCCTTGAACTTTCATATAAAGGTCAATTAAGTCCTTCTATGGGAGGTTCTGTCCGGCCGTCGCGATTTGGGGCGGTTCCCGGTGGATTTTTTTGATGAAATTTTTTGAGCATCTTATTCACCAAGTCTAGTTTACTCATACCAAATTTCAGGTAAAAATTCAATCAGGAACACATTCAAATTAATTCTTGAAGATAATTGTGCTTTTTTGCGTTCTTGAATTAATTTGAATGCACTCCCGATTAAATTTTTAGCTGAAATTTGATATGAGCAAACTAGACTTGATGAATAAGATGCTCAAAAAATTTCATCAAAAAACTTCACCGAAAACCATCCCACATCGCGATTCGCGACGACCGGACAGAGTCTCCTATAGAAGGACTTAATTGACCTTTTTATGAAAGTTCGAGAACCAATTTGACAGTTTTTCCTAATTAAATTCTATTGTTTGGAAAGTAAAATCAAGTTTAAGGGAATTGAATTCTATTGAAAGGAAAGTCAGTAGAAGATTTAGGGTGTATTTTATATGGATGGTGGTGAATTTTTGTAAAATAAATTAATTGTTTATGAACAAGGTCTTTTGATTTGCACAAATATGTGGATTTGATATGAATGATTTTTATGTGTTAAGTAACATTTACAAGCTTAAACATCGTACAGTTATTAAAACGGCACTATTTCAGTATTGCACTGATGAAGTCATGAAACCAGCAAAAAATCTGAACTGGACATTTTTTATATAGAAATTGAACCAATTATGTTCGTGTCCAGTAGGACCCAAGGTCTATTCGGTAAACGCTAAACACTATCAAGAATCATTGAAAAATAATAATCAAGATCCAAGCATAACAAAAAGACAATGTAAATTATGTAAAAATCCCTCTCAATTTCTCAAACGTTATGTGGAATAAAGCAATAACACTACTAACATCCTCTTCGAAAAAAATACGCACGTAATTTGGTACCAAGTGTAACATATCTTAAGGAGAAAAGGAAGATCAAAGACAAAAGCAACAAAAGTAAAAAACAAAATCAAAAGAAAACAAAGATCTACTTATTCACTGATGAAACATAGCAATTTTTTGAGCAATTGCTACTTCAGACCTATAATAAAATGCTAAAAATCCTTTTCAGTAGCTTGAATTTGACATCATGAGGATTTGCCTTACACGTTACCAATAACTAGCCCGAGGAGAGTACAAAATAAACCAACACAAGTTTCCAATGTGTGCTCCAAATATTTCTTAGCTCCACCACCCTCTCTGGACAAATAAAAGCATTGAGGATCCCAAATATTTCTTAGCTTATTACTTTCGAAACAACCCCGGCACCGACAGTCCTACCACCTTCCCTCAAGGCGAATCGTTGTCCTACAACAGAACAGCTATTAGTATGAGAGGAAGTAAATTAAACATCACAGGAAGCCTACTTACAGCAGGGCTTTCCAACAAACTTAAACTATTTGTGTTCGTTAGGTCAATTTGGCTTGGTTGGTCCGGTTTAGGTGTCATCAGTTTTGAAAACTTTAAAACTACAAACTGAAACAATTAGCTTCAGTTATGGTTGGGCCATTTCTGGTAGGACTTTGCAAATTCCCAGTAGTCCATTCACTCTACGATGATTTAGTTCGGCCAGATTTGATTTGTCTGTTTTTTGTTCAGCTCTGATTAAAGACCAATAGAACTACAGTTCAAAACTTTCTAGAATAACAGTTAAGTACCTTTATCCAATGGAACAGGAGAGATCAACTCAAATGTGGCAGTCACGTTATCACCAGGCATGACCATCTTGACATCTGGTGGCAACTCCACCTTACCCGTGACGTCAGCAGTCCTCAGGTAGAATTGGGGCCTATAGTTTGAAAAAAATGCAGTGTGGCGGCCACCTTCATCCTTTGTCAATACATATATCTCTGCCTCAAACTTCTTATACGTTTTTATTGTTCCAGGCTTCGCAATCACCTATATATACACCGGATGACCGATGAGTGAAACTATATAAAGTTGAGCGCAAAGTAGAGCATAATTAAAAAAAATTAAAAACCAAAATTATACTACGTAATATAAAACATATAAAACATGTGACTAACCATTCCACGTTGGATATCATCGCGTTTCAAACCACGCAATAGAAGACCAACATTGTCACCAGCCTATAAGTATAAGCACAAAATGTGATGAGTTCCATGTGCAGATTTAGACAAGTAACATATATGAATCCTCAAGTTCTCACCTGTCCATTATCCAAGATCTTTTTGAACATCTCGACTCCTGTAACTGTACTTTTCATATTCCCCTATGATCAATGCAAAGACCTCATTGATAATGTCAATGTAGTAAAACAGACAGAACTTAAAATCAATTTTAAGAACATAAGCATCACAACCTAGGTATAAGATCTATAAATATTCATCTTTAAAAAGGGAACTATAGAGTAGTTATCAAACTAACAACCACTCACCTGCATCAGCCCCAAGATCTCCACATCTTCTCCAACTTTAATAATTCCTTGTTCAATACGGCCGGTAGCCACAGTTCCACGTCCCTTTACAACCGCAACAAACATAAACAAACGTAGCCTTAAACAATTATCAGATAAAGTATGAGACAACTTTTACAAGACTTCCAAGGTACATGTATACGACGACTTTAGTAACTGGGATTAGGAACGACTTATTACCTGAATAGAGAAAACGTCTTCAACTGGCATGAGGAATGGCTTATCAAGCTGACGAACAGGATCAGGAATATATTCATCTACTGCATCCATTAACTTTAAAATAGCCTTCTTCCCTATCTCTTCATTTGTACCTTGCAAAGCTGACAAAGCAGATCCTCTAATAATAGGAATTTCGTCCCCTGGAAACTTGTAGAAACTAAGCAACTCTACAAGATGTAAAGATAAAGTAAGAAACCTCAACTTTCATCAAATATTATGCATAAAAATTTAAAATTGATATTTAATGAAAACAAAACATTCACAATTCCATCTTACCACGAAGTTCCATTTCCACAAGTTCAAGTAGTTCTTCATCATCAACAGCATCAACTTTATTCAAAAAACACACAAGTGATGGAACGCCAACCTGTACAACATGGAAAGAGGCTAAGGTAATGGCGAGAGACTGTTTTCGTTTTCCCCTCCACAATAATCCTTATTTTACCTGGCGTGCAAGCAAAATATGCTCCTTTGTTTGTGGCATAGGTCCATCAGGCGCTGATACTACAAGAATACCTCCATCCATTTGTGCTGCTCCAGTAATCATGTTCTACAAATGATTAACAAGTGAATTTAAAGAAGGGTGTATAATTTAGACTCTGAATAATTAAAAACACTAAACAAGAAGCGATATATTTTGTATTGTATAAATTGTAAGCAATTCACACTCAATAATCAATATAACTCCCTTATTACATGAATTATAGTGAGTACCTATTTGTTTGATCCTGCCATTATTTTTCTTGTTAGATGAGTTTAATTTTTCTCTTTTTTGCTTCTTTTTATATATGTAAGTTCAATAGTAGAAGTAACCGTATATTTGATATTTTTAATATGTTTTACAAATATATGAATATTTTATCCCACCTTAACATAGTCAGCATGCCCAGGACAATCTACATGAGCATAGTGCCTTTTAACAGTCTCATATTCCACATGTGCCTACAACAACAAAAAAATACAATAAACATAGCTTAGCTGACAGTAATAAATAAACTTAGATGATGTGCAATAAAAGAATAGCCAACCGTTGCAATTGTAATTCCTCTTTTCTTCTCTTCAGGAGCTTTATCAATTTCATCAAATGCGACAGCTTTAGCCTTTCCTTCGTCTGCTAGAACCTGAACAGTAAAAGTAATACGTCAGTAACGTCACATAGAAAATTCTTAAAGAAGGAAGCAGAACTTTAAAGAGAGACGTATGCCAAAAAAATACGAGTACATATGAAGAGAAAAAAATCTAAGAGTGGCACCTTTGTGATTGCAGCTGTCAGAGTAGTTTTTCCATGATCAACATGTCCGATTGTTCCCACATTAACATGAGGTTTTCTGCAATAGCAAATAGAAATACTTAACTCAGCTGGTGAATAAGAATTTCACTTTCTCTCCCCTTATCCATTCAGAGCAGATCATAGTAAAAAAAACTGTAGCAAATATGAAGAGTTCTGATAAAATTGGGGAGAAAATACGTTAACCGATATCAATGTCTACAGAGGCACTTATAATTTTGTCATGAAATGAGATTCAAACAGAGAAATGATCACACATTGAAGCGTGTGTGCTGTGAATGCGGCGAAAGAAGAAATTAGAGCTAACGTTCGAGTGAAAGTGGCCATAGATCTCCACCATGGATTGGAAAATGATGGATACTCATTGTGAGATACGGATTCGGAGAGTGATAGCTGAGCGGAAACCGATCCCCGGCAGCAGGAGTAGACTTGGGGAGACAGAGAGAGGATGCGCTTCGAGCCATGATTTCTGAAGGCGACCGACGCCATGGATAAGAAGATATTGCGAACTCGGAAATGAGACAGAGCAGATTTCAGGGGTTTATGTCACTGGCTACGCTACTGGTATACCTCTTCCCTCTCCTACAAGGGTTTTAGAAATCCCAGTAAGGAGCATTGGGACGACGGCGTTCAGAAATCAGAATGATCATTGGTCTGGGCTGGGCTGAGCTGCTGGACAGTAATTTCCTTACCATCACCATAAAAAGCCCTTCATGACTCTGTTTCAAGCCCAGGCCGAATTATCCCATTCAACAGTTCAACTTTGATAGCGGAAAAGTGACAAATCTGGGCCAACAGAACGTTTTCTTTTGAACCGTTTTTAGTTCAGACTAAATTAGATTAGATCATACTAGCTAGTATACTATACTTAAATAGATCAGATCACATCAAGCTTAAAATAATCAGACAATATCAGACTTTCAATAGATTAATTAGACCAAACTAGATCAGACTAAATAAAATTAGACCAAACCAAACCAACAAATTTCGGTCCGAAAGAAAACATCCTTAATCATCACCGACTAAATAATGTAATGAATTTTAATCTTACAACCATTATTGGAATGGGACATGTTTAAGGCTATGCTTCCAAATACTTTTCAAAAGCTCTTTTCGGTGTCCAAAAAAAGCTCTTTACGGTGTCTAGCTTTGAAAAGATTAAGAACATGATGTTAATATAAGACATTTTAATCCAAAAGTGAAATGCATTGTTAGAACTTAGAAGCACGGGCGGAGCCAGATATCATTAGAGGGGGGCGGGCCAGAACAAAAACGTATAAATAAGTTAACATATTTAATTAAAAATGGTCTTGGTGATCAATTTGAAATATTTGAGACTTTGCATGACAACTAAAACAAAACAATGTATCAATATCTTAAGATATATTATAGTGGGATGTTTAATTTTCAAAAATCATTCATTTACTACGTGTGTGGATAATGCTTAGGAAAATAAAATAAATACTAGGAAATGTTTTTTTGGTTTTGCATCACAAATTTCAAACAGATTAAGTATGATTAATATTATTAAATTTGTTTGTGTGCTTAATTATATTACTCTTTAACTATATAAATAGACATGTAAGATATAATTCATTACACATCAAGATTTATTCATTGGATTTGATCACATTTATTTCTCCCATATATTTATAGTTTCCGCAATACTTTTCAAGCTTAATTGAATAGCTTTAATCTAATTAAAAATTAATGAATTGATTAATTTAAAATTATATCTATCAACCACAAATACTATGTTTCACTTTAAAAGAGAGTATTATAATCAATATACTAACATTTAACTACTCCTACAAAAAATGACTAATAAATACATTGAACATTAACTATTTAATACTAAAAAATTGAAATGTTGGGAGGGGCCGTGGCCCCCCTACCCTAGAGGCTACCTCCGTCCCTGCTTAGAAGTGCTTTTAGATTATTTTATAAATAACTCAAACGTCAGATATAATTATAATTTTAAATTTACTCTGTTTAAACCCAAATTATCAATCCCATTATCCTTTTTCACACTCAGGAGACAAAATATGTGTAGATTAATCCCTCGTATCCACACCAGGGGTCATGGCACAATAAGTGAACAAATAAAAATGTCAAGATGATAATAATAGTTATTGGTGTGGGCAAGACTATTATATCTTTACATACATAAAAAGAGAAGTGGAAAACCAAATAGAAATATACTTGAAGTCAAAAGAAGTGGAAAAAAGTAGTCCTGATTAATGAAGCAATTAATAATAATAGAGGAAAACCAAATAGAAAATATAAAGAAGTGGAAAACCAAATAGAAATATACTTGAAGTCAAAAGAAGTGGAAAAAAGTAGTCCTGATTAATGAAGCAATTAATAATAATAGAATAATCAAATATTCTGATTTAAAAATATAAAGACTAAAATATATCTATATATTTAATGTCGATGGAAGCCAGGGAATATATTTCTTCCCCTCCAACAAAGTGACACTATTGAAACATTAAATGAACTCTTATAAATAATGTGTATAAATATGACTAGTTATTTGACGCACGTTGCGGGAAGGAGAAATGCCCAATATGATTTAGTAGGGATAGTATTAGGATGTTTTTTCAAACTCTTTAAGAGTAACATAGAATAGTTATTGTCCTATAAAAGAATGTATAGTTCATTTTGTTTGATGATATTAATAAAAGTCGATATTTCCTTATGTGCACTATAGTGAAGTGGACTAGCTCTATTGAAAATGTTTGTGATTTAGTCTATTAGGACAGTGAAATTTTAGAGTGGAAAGTCTAAATTATGTAGAAAATCAGATTTTTTTTGCTACAAACTTAAACAAATTCAGTATAAATCAAAGAGCCAACCCTGATGGTTCAAAATCAAATCCACTCTTTAATCAAGTTTATAATATATAATACAAATCAATATTGAGGTAGAGTCTCCGGCCTTATTTATATTTTATTTATTATAAATGGATAAAAACATCTTTTAATTTGTATATTATAAATGGATAAAAACATCTTTTAATTTGTATATAAACCTTGCACACATAACTCGTCTTTAATACCCCGACCAGGTATCGAGTTGCCGGTTTCTAATTCCGGATAAATAATCAACTAATTGAAATCCAGTTTTGGAATCGAGACCATATGTACTCCAAGAGTAGAAGGCGAAAGAAAAAGCGTACAAAAAACATTGGGGAGAGAAAGAGAAAATAATAGCTAAAGAATTGTGTAGGTAAAAACTAAAAAGGGGATAAGAAAACATAAAAATCCATGATTTTATATTTCCATAACATACATGGAAGTTTGAATGTATTTAAACTTGTAAATACTTTTAAAATTTCATATTCAATACGTCTAAACTTTTAAAAATAATGAAATTCAATTCTAATATATTTCTTTTAATTTTAATTTACGGGCACTTTTGAAAACTGGATTTACTACTCATCGGCTTCCTCAGGCGTTTTTTTACGGCATTAGGCGTCAGGACCTTCCTGTGATAACAAAGTTTAAACGTACACATGATCGACTTTGTTAAAAAATGAAACACATGACCTTATATGAAAATAGGCACAATATAATCACAAGTACATTTTCCTTGCTTTTCCTAAAATACAATTGTCTTAATCACTGAAATTGATAAAATTCTGACTTAATTGGCTGAATCTATTGAATCATTTAAAATTTATTTAAAAATTAGTTTATTAGTAATATAAAGAATTTTATGAACACATCTATAATGGCCTTGTTTAAAAAATGGCTTATCAGCCATTTTTTAGCTTCTAATTAATAATGTTGACCATCTAAGTAGCTAAAATTGTTGTTTGGTAAATAGATTCTTAATTTTGCTTATTATAATCAATAAGCCGAAAATGCTGGGAGGGGCACCGTTTTCACTCGACTGTTCCGTTTTTCCCCTCCTATGTCCTTTGTTTCACGCAAGTCGTATGATCGTATCTTTGTATTTTTTGTTCTCTGGCTTACAAATATTGATCCATCTGGAAGAGATAACTAATACATTTTGACTTATATTGATCCATCTGGCATCACTACATGCGAGCAAACAGGGGCGTCTTTAGCGTTTCGGAGGCCCTAGACAAAACGTTACTCCCCACATGTATCATATTGAAAATGAGATAAAGTGAATCAAAAAATACCCTAAGAAAAAAAGCATATTCAAAGTGCATGATATAATATTTTTAATATTCAAAAGATAAATTTTTAAATCCACATTTATGTAAAATACATTGCAAGCTTATACTTGTATTATCCCATTAGTCTATTATGCTTGCCTAAAACCTAAAACTTCTAAATACACTAACAAATCAAAACAAAATACTATTACGTAATTTACTAGTAACAAACTAACAATAACATCAAATTAATCATTTCATGTATTATTGATCTTATACATACAATGTCAATATAACAATTTCACTCTATTAGGAATTGAATCCGGGACGTCCCATAAGAGGGAGTAATCGGTGACCAGTTGAGTTGGACCATTAGCTTCCTCATATCAATATAACAATATTAACTCAATAGTTTAAAATTAATAATGAATCATATTGTAATGAATCATATGTTTAAGTTATTAAGCATTTAGCTTTAGTCATTCACGAGTTCAGTGCAACAGTTCAATCACTCATTCACTTGTTTGTAATATTTAGCACTTCAGGAATTTACCTCAAAATATCAAATAATTCGCAGTAAAAACAAATTGCATTTACTGCTCCATTGCTTGTCTGTCGTCTGCTTTACAGCCTTAGGCTAACTGGCTAGGCCATTATCTTTATCACTTGTATTTCACTATTTTATTGAATAAATTTCTAAATTAATTCAATGCAAAAAAAAATGTCTAAATTAATTATATACGATAGTACTCCGTACTTGCCAAGGCTGTGTGTGGTCGTCGTTGGGAATTGGGATGAGAACCTAGAAGGCAGTCGTTGGCAACTGCTTGCCGATTTGCAATTCCCGTTCGACGAATGCGTGGAGTCATGGACAATTCTCTAGATAATTACTTCCTATTATTACTTCAAAGTTCAAACTATTTACCTGCTAATGTGAGGCCCCCTTGGCAAGAGAGGCCCCAGGCACTTGTCTGGGCTAACTGCCCCAGATCCGCCTCTGCGAGCAAATATTGATCATAGTACGTTGAGTGGCTCAACCATCGTCTTGAAGCACTCAATAAGACATTGATCAATGTCCTTATCAAAATACAATCTTTAAATTAATTTATTTTATTTGCCACATAGTAGTATAATTGTATTTTTCATTTTTGTTATTTGTAAAACACGAATGGTGTATAGTATGCAAGTGATTGTGGTTTACATTGGTTTTAGAAGCAATAACTTTAAAAATAGTATTGTCCTTATACGTCTTTTTGCACTTAAACATCTATTCTTAAACAGCTAATTTACCAAACAATTGTTGACAATAAGCAAATATAATCAGCCAATCAAAACAGATAAATCGACCAGCTATTATCAAACCACTATTATAACCAGCTAACAGTTAACAGCTAACCGCTAATTGTCAAATAAAACCAATAAATTCAACTTATTCAGTTAGAAAGGTAATCAACCTTACTTATTTTGTTTGTGACATAATCCAATACATGAAGTCAAAATTTACAATATTGATAAAATGGTGAGTAAAATTGATAAATTGAAAACACAAGTCACCAAATGTACTTTAAGTTGGATTTTACCAATGAATTAAATTGAATGAAAAAGATAAGTAAGTTATAAATTAGATTTTACTGTTTTATTTATTACGGAATACAATTTTTTTGCTTCATGGATTATTGGATTAGAATGTTTCTTTTTTGAGAACCTAATTATTTTTTTGCTTCATGTGATAAGTTACGTTACAACTCGTTGCATTTATATTTGTAACAACTCACATCACCAACACGTCCATATTTTAACGGCGGCAAAGATGAGGCCTGAGAAAGGAATAAAATTGTACAAGGCTTGAAACGTAACGTACAACTAAATAATGCATAAGTGTTACACCAACACAATTTTCAACCCTAAAATGTCCCAACATAACCCTCATTGAGGATTATAAGCTTTTAAGAATTAAGAAAATATAAGAAATACTTAGGTACAAAAAACATTAATGTTGGTTTACATTCTAATTAATCTCATATATGGAATACTTAAGGATGACTATTTTTTGGCCAGTTTGGCAATCGGCGTGTAGCGGATTGTGTTAGTTGCTAATTGCTATCGATTTAATGGGAGGATTTGACTAACACATTAATTTTGAAAGTTATATGTTCGGTCTTAGCGATTAGTATGTAAAAACATAAGGACATTAGTAAATTCTGATATCCTATTTCAGATACATCCTATTTCAACATTTTCATGAACTCTCAAATAAATATGATGTTCAATGTAATAGTTTTTTTTAATATTACTCAAATGTAACCTGTTTATAAAAATATGACTAAAAGTTACTCTCCTCGTATTTTTAAAGATTGCTACAACGGATTTGACACGATGTTTAAAGGGGAAAGTAAGATTAATTAATAGTGTAAAAAAGTATGAGAGAAAGTGTAAAAGATGAAAGAGAAGATAAAATGTAGAAAATAATTGAGTATTGTTAAAGGGAAAACATACCTAAATGGGAAGGTGTAATAAAATTTCAAATACGTCTAACAAACTGTAAAGATCTTTTAAATATGGAGGGAATACTATATTCTAATGTAAGATCACTTAAATGCAAATATTGAATACAAGATACCACAATTAAAGTTAGTTTACAATTATAATCACTACACTTAAGAGGTCATACTTTTATAAACCATTTTTTTAGTCACATCCATACAATTATTTGTTAATTTAATTATTCAATGGTTCAACCGCACAATCAACTTTTACTTTCAAATAGACTTCTGCTAGAGAATTTGAGGGGAGAGAGGAGCGACAAAGGGAAACCCTAGCCGCCTCCTCCTCCTCCTCCTTCCTTCTTTTCTTCTCTTATTTCAATCATGGAAAAAGTTTTGTTTGATTATCAATATTTTCAGTTCTATCTATGCGTTTATTTCTTAGCGTTTGATGGAGTATATGGCCCAGGAACCCCCGGCCCATAGACTCCTACTTCTCCTACATAAGTCCATTGAGCCCAGGAAACAACTCAGGCCCAAATACAACGGCCCAAACCTCAAAGTAGCCCGGAATACACACTAGGGTGCCTTCGGCCCCCTTGGCCGAAGGCTCCAAAACTCACAGGGTAGCCTTCTCTGGCATAAGAAACTACTGGGAGAAAACGGCGAAAACATGAGCCTTCGGCATCGTCAAGCCCTCGGCATCAGAGAAGCCTTCGGCTGAACAAAGCCTTCGGCCACACAGGGGTCCTTGCCACGTGGAACCCTCGGCTACACAAGGAGCCTTCGGCTGAACTAGCTCAATCATCGAAGATTCCTTTTGGAGACAGCCAACCACCGCATTTAATGCCACGTCACATCCGCCAACCGCATTCAATGCGGTAAACGTACCACTGCCGGTGCCAACCGGCTGATGTGACCCTTCGGCCGTTGGATTAATGACACGTGTACTCTCATCGCATTTATTGCTGCTATAAATAGCAGCCCGTTTCTCCTTGTAAACGATCCCAATCCCAACACACCTCGAGTTCATTTAATAAATCAACTCTCTATCCTCCTATTTGCTCTGACTTCTCTCTAAGTTATTCCCGCAATAACCCCTCGGATAAGATACCCCCGGGTAAATTATCCATCAGCGTTGTCTATAGATATTTTTTCAGTGGCGAAGTGTCACTCGCCAGATCTATATTCCCCGCCATCACCAGTCGGGTGTTCTTGTGTGCTAGTAAGAGGTTTGCATTGGCTTCTTTATCAATCATGAATCATGATTTCTCCTGCATCGATATAGAGGCCGATTGCCCCCTCCTGAACCACCGTCGATCCAGGAAGATGGCATTGGATGAATTGCTTTCTTTCTGGTGGCTGGTCAAACCGGAACAATTTCTACACTTGGCTCCTTACCAGTGGCTGGAAAAACCGGCAAGTTCAATAATTCCTTTTCGGTGGCTGGTCAAGCCGAACCCATTTCGAGTAGCATGAGCAGACACACTGCGGTACGAGTCTACATTGTTGCAGGGTTAGCGAACATGGGTGCTTTTATATGACGTTTTTGTTCTTTGTCTCACCTTAGTGTAGTTTTGAATGCTATGATTGTAATGCTTCGGCTTTTAGTTGTTATGTTTCTTGTTAAGATCTGATTATCAATAAAATGGTTATTTTATTTTAAAAAAAAACTGGTTCAACTGCACAAGAAAATATATTAAGCATGTTATGCATTTTGTATGAAATCCTAATAAATATGAAAAAAGGATCATGATATTCTCTTAACAAACAAAACCAAAATTAAAACAAGATATCTCTATGTATCCCATAGTAATGTACATCTGAGCAGCAAGAGTAATATATGTATTCTATGCTTGATTTGGAGAACAGAGGACTGAGGGTTAGTAGTCATGAACAATTGTATTGCTATACATTTTCTATATTTTCAACTTGGTTATATACCAAAAAGTTCATTATTTATCAAATGGATTATGACATGTTTTTTTTTTTATCTTAATAGTTTAATTAAAATTAAAATTTGAGGTGAACCAAAGTCTAAATTGGACTCTAGCTACACTCTTAATAATAGTTGAGGGATTCAAATGTCACTTTAATTTATTGAAGACAAATGACAAAGGGAGTGTTTGCAAGTAGTTTGCAACACATTAAAAAAAGCGATTCTTAGATTTTAACTTAAAAAGTTTAGGGTTGGTTTGCAACTACTTTTAAAAAAGCACTTCTCAACTTTTGGCTTTAAAAAAGCACTTATTTTCCCAAACACTACAACTTTTATTTTTCTCGGCTTCCGCGTCAAAAGTGCTTTTACCTTTTCTATTACACAAAAAACACTTATTTTATCAAACACTACCCACTTTTACTTTTCAAAATCACTTTTTTCTCAAACACTATCAACTTTTATTTAATCACTTCTCCCCATTTCATTAAAAAAAGCATTTTTTTAAAAGCAGAAGCTGTTGCAAACAGACCCTTAGAGTAGTGTGTTCAAACATATTTAAAATTGTGTACATACGAAATTTTGTTTAATTCCCATTCTGTATTTAACTAAATGTGTTTTTCAACGCCCATTTTTGTTTAAATTAAGTACTTCAAAACTAAAAATATGAAGTTGTTATAGAGGTACTTTGTTTAGGGTTGGTTTGCAAATGTTTTAAAAAAACACTTATCAACTTTTAGGATGTTTTTACTTGGACTGTAATTTGCTGGTCTGGTCTGGTAAGGTCTGGTTTCTTTGTATTTTTATAACTATCCAAGTCTGGTCTGGTCTGGTCTGGTCTGAACTGGTCTGGTCTGGACTGGTCTGGTCTGGTCTGGTCTGGGGCAAATTACAGTCCAAGTAAAAACATCCTTAGTATTACCCAAAAAAACACTTATTTTATCAAACACTACCAATTTTTATTTTTTATTTTTGTATTATCCAAAAAAACTCTTATTTTACGGTATAGTGCCCCTCCCTATTCCTATTTTCTATTTGTGTTCATCGTTGTTCACCCCACATCCATCTTCCTCTTTGAACTTACGGTGTATATATATACATTTATCTCTGTCGATCGAGCTTCTCCTAAATCCCAAACGCAAATACCTCGCCGGAAGAACTGCTCCAATTCTAACTGCGGCTCTATTGCCGATTAAATTTACATACAGAGTATATATTTAATTTGTGAGTATTATATATCCATACCCTTTCCATTCAAGATTTTTCGAAGCTATTCCACAACTCATCTTTTGTGATAATCAAGTAATTTGATTTCTTGATCAGCTTCCTACATATACATATTGAAGTAGCAAAAACAATTGAAGACCAGAGGCTCTGGAGCTACGACGATTAGGTACATGGACATTTGGTAGGACACTTCTTAATGTTAAGAAACCATTACATCCCAAAATCACTTTTTAACCAAAAATTTCAACTTTTTTTCTCTTACACAATTACTTAAAAAAATCATTTTTTTAAAGGAGAAGTGAATGTAAACACTCGGTCAATGTGAAAAGGTCAAAGACAATACCAAACATTTCTTTCTCACATTAATAGAAACATATATCTAATGAGTAAAGTGATGCTTGCCCAGGATACCATAGCACCGCACCAAGATAAAGTTGCCGCACCAGGAAAGCAAAGCACTGCACCTCACCTCTGGTATGGAGTAATCATGAATATGATGCATTTGAGTAGAAGGTAGTAAATCAGGAAGAAGAAGTCTGAACGCAGAAGTGACAGAGTAGGGTGTAGTGATTTTGAAATCCAAGGGGAGGTGAGTATTTTGCTGGAATGATTTGTTTTTTATAGTATATAATTCCATCAAAATCAGTCCAAATCCAAGAGAATAAAAATCCTTAGATTATTTGAGTATGGTGGAATTATAAGGAATCTTTTATATTATAATCTAAATTGAGGGCATGTAGATTGTGATGGAATTCTAAATTCCATTGAAGTCCAAATTGGGGACACCCCTAAAGTGTGAATGGATTTATTCCAACATTATTGTTTGATCTTATAAAAAAGATGGTTCCCTGGGGAGGAGTAACTTGCTGTTTGAGTGCTGCTGCTCTTTATGTGCTTGGGAGAAGCAGTGGAAGGTGTGCTTAGTTTACCTTTTTTCCTTATTTTCATATTATTCAGAGTGATTATCTGATGTTGTTAATTCATGTGTGTACAATTCTATGAAACTATGCAGGGATGCAGATGCCTTGAAATCCGTTACCAGGGTCAATCATTTGAAGGATTTAGGTAAGCATCTAGTTCAGTTATTATGAAAAGCTCGAGTTGTTTGGCTATTTTCATCCCGTTTTCGTTCGGTTGTGATTTTTAGTGTGTGCTCATTTGAATTACATGGTGGTGCTTATGTTTCCTTTTGGCTATCTATGTTTGGATCCTAAAAAATGCTAGGATAATGGATGAACACGCTTAAAAGAGTTATTTTCTTATGCCTCAATCTTCCTCAGCGAAATGCTTAGGAAAATGAATGATGTTTTTTCATATGTTAAGATTGTCTAATATTAGTATAATAGAATAGAATAAAAAATGCAATCGAGTATGAGCAAATGTTAATAAAAGTTATTGAGTCTCAACCAATTTTCCTTAACATTTCCCCCTTCCGAATCCCCCCTACACTTTCCTCCTTATTTTCTTTCCCTGGCATTTTCCAGGTTCCAAATCGAGCCTATAGTTTTCATCCTGAATTAGATTTTATCAAAAGACTCCAACTCCATTCTGAATTTAGCATAAATTACTACGTATTATTATCTATAGCCAAATTATTCTGATATTATGATGCCGATGATGATATTTCTCTATATGCATCTCTATATATAAGCTTCACTTACCCTCCCCCCAGCTGAAATCATGATTTGAGCTCACAATTACTCTTGTAGTCTTATCTTTTGGTTTATAGGTTGTAAACCATACTAGCTAATCATTGGCTCGTTGCATGAATTCTGACACTGAACTAATTACTTAAAGATGATCATATGTATTTAAATAATTTCTGTGTACATGGTCATTGGTAGAGTTAATATTGTATTGCTTTTTATTATTATAGTAAGGAGTACTGAGGATTTAGTGTGTGTACCCATCACAGTGTCGATACCATTTATCAAATTAAGTTCATACGTTTCTATATTTAAATGGCCATTTGGAACCCATAAAATGCTAGGGGAAAGATAACAGGCATATAATTAAGAAATTTGGAGGTAAGGAAATTCAGGAAAAAAATAAGAGAGTAGTTCAAAAGTAATAAATCAACTTTGGAGTTGTCTACTAAGTCATTTTACTTACATATTTTTAGCATATAAAGACTATGGAATCTAAATATAAATATAAAGTTTTTAAAAGTTCAATCCAATTGATATTCCTTTTTGTTTTTATTTTCAAGGTAAAACCACACATAAAAAGGACTATTTTCCGTAGCATTTCCCCCTTTCCGTACATCTTCTGATGTCCCAAACATTGCCCAAGAGTTCTTGAATTTTCCATGTGTTGGAAACTATCTTTTCTAACAACTCCATTGAAATATAAGGTCCAAGGAATTTCTAAATTTATGACATTCAGCTATTTTTTCTGCTGCTTTTTCTTTTAGCACAATTATTTGATACAGCATCAAAGGTATTACCTTTGGTTGTCACAATATCTGGAAGAGTTAGTTCAGATACACCAATCAGCTGCAACAGTGGCTTACGTGGAGTAATTGTTGAAGAAACAGTAAGCAAACTACTATTCTTTTCTAAAGTGATTTAGTTTTTTTTTCCTTTGAGTTGGTGACTTTATGGGATGCAATTAATTACATTATTCAGGCCGAGCAACATTTTCTTAAACACAATGATGCTGGTTCATGGATACAAGATTCGGCCGTAATGCTTTCCATGTGTAAAGAAGTTCCTTGGTATTTGGTGAGTTTCTATTATTGTTTCCCTTTCTGTCTTCTCTTTTGGTCCGTTTGGAAATCAGGAAATCATCAGAAAAGGAAACTGTGAAAAAAGGAGAAATTTGGAGGGAAAGTATACACCACCACCAAGCCTTAGTCCGAAAAGATTTTGGGGTAGGATAATTTGGAAGGACAGTGTATATTGGGAAAAGATTGGTTCGAACTAAATAAATGAATTCTGATTATATATTCAAACACGTTATATGTATCTATATCTGTCATAGTATCATATAATTCTAAGATATCTAAATTTTAATACTCCCTCCGTAATTAAAAGTTCACTACATTAGGGTTGGGCACATTGTTTAAGGATAAAATAGTAGGGGTAATGAATAGTGCAGAAAAAGTTAGAGAGATGGTGAAAAAGTATGAAAGAGAAGATAAAAGGTAGAAAAAGTAAGGGTAGTTGGGTATTTTTAAAGGAAAAACTTACCAAAAAAGGAAAGTGCAGGGAACTTTTAAATACGGAGGGAGTAATTATAATTAAAAATGATTTTCCTTTGTATGTTCAACAATTAAGCCAAACACAAACAACCTATTTTACTACCATTTTATGTGTCTTCCCTATCACCACCTTAATAATTAGCGCGTCAAGAAAATCTCAAGAAGGTATAGTTGTTTACTCAGGAACACATTCCATTTTCTAAGATATGTTTTGGGGGTTGTTTTTTGGAATAGGATGATGGCACAGGTCGTGCATTGGTAGTTGGGGCCCGCGGTGCCACGGGTTTGGTATTGACCGTTGGAAGTGAAGTGTTTGAAGAAGCCGGACGATCAATTGGACGTGGGATGCTAGACTATCTTCAAGGTCTTAAGGTCTGTGACTGTGTATTGTTCCACCATCTTAATGTGTTTTACAGTTTAATCCCATTACAATTTTTTACACTTTAACCCCATTTAAAATTTACTGTGTGTATATGCACGCCATGCTTCGAGATGCTTGTTACCTAACAATGGTTCTTGTTAACATCTTTTACCCATAAAATGCTTCTTTTGAAGATGCTTGGAGTCAAGAGAGTTGAGCGGGTCCTTCCAGTAGGTATACCATTGACAGTAGTTGGTGAGGTATGTTTTGGTCTTAGAGTCCTCGTGTAAATAATTTTTTTGATCTACATGTTAATTAGTACTCCCTCCGTCCCCTTTTAAATGTCCCGTTTTACCATATTGGGATGTCCCTATTTAAATGTCCCATACCTTATTTGGTAAAGTTTGTGTGGCTCAAAATCATTCATACTTTATTTTTACTTTATCAATTAATATCATTTACACAAACCCACTTTTCTTAAAACCCGTGTCACCCTCTTCTGAGACATTTAAAAGGGGACGGAGGGAGTACTTCCCCCGTTCCGCTAAGATTATCCCATTTTATTTTTCGGTCTGTCCCACTAAAATTGCCCCATACCAAATTTGGTAAAGTTTGTGTGGCTCTAAATCGTTCTTACTTAATTCTTATTTTACCAATTCAATATCAACCACATAAACCACTTTTTATTGATTTGCGTGCCACTCCTCTTGTCCTATTGTTAGTGGGACGAAGGGAGTAGTACATTTGAAATAACCTCATTTAGTAGCCACAAAGTAACAATGTAATACCGTTTGAAGATCATAATCAGATAAGGCATATTGGGTCTATTTTGTTGTGATTGCTTTATTTGAGTATGTTTTAGAGAAAAATCGTACACCCAAGAATATTTTTAGTATCTTTTATCAATGTACTCCTCTTCCATAAGACAAACTGTTGTGTAACAGAAAAATAAAATCAATGGGGTAAACCGTTGCCCAGACAATCAACGATAAAAATACCGTTGCCCAGAGCCAAAAGGCTAAAACCCAATTTTATTCCAAGATGATCCACAATGAATCCTAACAAGGGGTTTAAATACCCATTTACTAATTCTCAAACTAGGAAACAAAATCCTAGAAATCCTAATCAACTCCAACTAGGAAACAAAATAATAAAGATCCTAATCAACTTCAAATAGGAAACAAATAATAGAAATCCTAATAAACTCCAAATAGGAAACAAATCAGGAAAATTAAAAAGAATAAATATTAATTAATTAGCTTGCAACCAGCCCACGAAGGTGGGCTCAAGCCTGTCCCCGCCTTCAATAAACCCACGGAGGCTTCTGCCCCTCTTCTTCCAAGCCTAGATTCTGCTTCATATCAATTCCATCATCCTTCGAAATAACCTTGTCTTCAAGGTTAAAATCCGGAAACCGGCTGACATTTGTCCCCGGGGGCTGCCCAGTATCTTCAGGCAAAATTGAGATGTACTCCTCCACAGTCCATGTTTGCTTGTCTCCGGGCAGCCGATCAAAGCAATTGCCCAAAACTGTGAGTCAAAACGAGCCACCAATGCCTGTGTAAGCTCATCCCATGACATGCCCGGTTTTCGTGCCCGTAACCAGGTCAATCAATATAGGGCTGACCCTTCCATCGCAACTACAACAACTGCCATCTTCTTTTCCGGCGGAGTACAATTCAATTCGAATTGTTCCTCAGCCCTATCAACCCAGCTGATCGGTTGTTCTTCGTTTAACGAGGGCAACATCGTGAGAAAGGTGCTGCACAGTCCAATTCCAAACGAGGATGTTGCTGCCGCGTCAAGTGAAGCCACCGCCGTTGAATGCTCCTCCGCCGCTGGCGGCGCAATAGCCTTTGTGAGCGCAGCCAAGGAGGAAGTGACGCTGCGCGGCTGTCCGTCGTCGGTGTGCGCATATACGGTGGGACTGCCAATCGCGTCCGGGCTTGTTTCCGTCGTGACTGGCGGAACGAACGCCTTGGTAAGGGCTGCCAGGGATGCGGCGATCTCTGCCAGACGCATGCCGTGCTCCTCTAGGGTTTGATTCATCCGAATTTGCTCGGCCACCATCTCTGTCAAGCAGTCAATCTGAGATCTCATCATCCTGGCGGGACGGGATATGGCAGGTCGGACCAATTGTTGTGTAACAGAAAAATAAAATCAACGGGATAAACCGTTGCCCAGATAATCAACGATAAAAATACCGTTGCCCTGAGCCAAAAGGCTAAAACCAATTTTATTCCAAGATTATCCACAATGAATCCTAATAAGGGGTTTAAATACCCATTTACTAATTCTCAAACTAGGAAACAAAATCCTAGGAAACAAAATCCTAGAAATCCTAATCAACTCCAAATAAGAAACAGAATAATAAAGATCCTAATCAACTTCAAATAGGAAACAAATAATAGAAGTCCTAATTAACTTCTAATAGGAAACAAATTATAGAAATCCTAATAAACTCCAAATAGGAAACAAATCAGGAAAATTAAAAAGAATAAAATTAATTAAACAGCTTGCAACCAACCCACGAAGGTGGGCTCAAGCCCATCTCCACCTTCAGTAAACCCACAGAGGCTTCTGCCCCTCTTCTTCCAAGCCCAGATTCTGCTTCATATCACAAACTTTCCCTTTTAGTCTGTCTAAAAAATATGAACACTTGACTAATTTGAACTCTGATAACTTTGGGGAAAATAATATAAATACCCCAAACTTTGAAGGGGTGTGAGGTATAAATACCCTGAACTTGTATATGTAGTGTATATACCTCGAACGTTATACTACGTATAAAAAGTTATTTTGGCCCCATGATTATATGTTTTTTACAAATAAAAATTTATTTTAATAAGTACATAGTTTAAAATAAACTAAGTTTTATTTAGATGCAACTAACATTCTAATATTTCATTTGTGAAATAAATAATATTAATCCGGCACAGACTAATTTTAATTGCATTCTCATAAGTGTTTTGTGTATTTGGAATTATTATGTACTTACTACCATAAAATTACATTTGTGAAAAGACATATGATCATGGTGCTAACATAACTTTTTATTTAAAGATTGGGGTATACATATTACATGTGCAAGTTTGGGGTACTTACCTCACACCCCTTCAAAGTTTGGGATATTTAAATTATTTTCCCATTTATAACTTTCTACTTTCTCACTTCCTTTTATCTATCGATTTACTCTTTACTTTTTCTGGACTCATGCTACTTTTTTTTTCCTCTTGAAGGTTACAATTGTAAAATAACAAGTGTTTTCTTGAAACCTGTTCCACACCCAAATCTATCTTACATTTTGGACAGAGGGAGTTTTATAAAGATTGTGTTTGTGATTTTGTGTGTGAATATATATGTGTGTGTGTGTGTGTGTGTGTATACAGACACTCATATATACTCCCTCCGTCCCGTTGGAAGGTTCCCGTGGGTAAATGACATGATTTTTAAGGCAAGTGGTTAAATAAAGTAATTTGGGTAAAAAATAGAAGAAAGAGAAAATTTAGAAAAAGTAAACATATAAAGTGAAAGTAATTAAAGGGAACCTTTAAATGGGACACCCTAATAAGGAAAGTGGGAACCTTTCAATGGGACGGAGGGAGTATATATGTATATATAAAAGTATAAATAAATAAATATCAATATATATAGAGGTGTATTTTTTAAAATGAGACTTGAAAATTTTGATAACATTTACGCCTTACAGGTTGTTCCTATATATAATCAGCCCAAATTTAGGACCACATTTTCATAATAATCCGTAAAAAAAGGTTATTCTTACACAGAGTATTTTTAGATGGAGATTTTAGTGCATTGCACTTTTTTCTGCATGCAGAGCCTCTTTTATGAGGCATTGGAATCTTAATATACAAAGTATATGTTTTCTACAAACCTACAGTGTTATGAGATATTTTTTAACTCTATAAAAACCAGTTGGAAGTTTTTAAGAGTTGGTTGAGCTAATATGTAGTTATGTTTAGTAACCCTATACCGTTTCACTTTTTTTTTTTGTTTTTTTTGCAAAGTCTTTGATTAGCAAGGGTTTTACAATTTTAACATTTTTGTTCTTATATAATCAGGCAGTTAGAGATGATATAGGTACAATTCGGATCCAGAAACCGAGTAAAGGCCCATTTTATGTTTCTCCTAAAACAATTGATCAGCTCGTCAATAATCTTGGGAGATGGGCAAGGTAAACCATGTCTTTTAACTGTGGACAGTTTCACAATTAATCAATCAGTTACTCCTTGTATAGGGTAACCATCCTTTAAATGTTCATTTAAATATCTGAATATCTGTACACTTGCTGGTTGTAAGTGTATTTGATAGATATTTCCTATTTTTCAGGTGGTACAAGTATGCTTCGATGGGATTTACTGTTTTTGGTGTTTATCTTCTTGCAAAACATGCTTTTCAGTACATCATGGGAAGAAGGCGTCGTTTGGAATATCGTAATAGGTACATTGTAACGTAACTAAGTGGTGCTGAGGTATAGTTAATACTTATATATACTGAATATGGTCAGTGTGTCTATGCATGCTATACACTCATGTGTTCCCTCCCTATGACACTTAACCTGCTATTTGGCCTTGTTTGGATTGTCGCATGATTCCTGATTATATCATATGCTCATATCCTGCCATGACAGGCATTTCATCCTCCCATATACCGTGGGTTTTGAGTATTTTTCAATAATCGGTTGAATTCCTATCATTCCGAACACGATTGTATGTAATTCTTAGCGAGACATTTACTCATTTAGTTATCCGTATGCATTTCCCATTAATTAAATTATGACCACTAAATTAATCCAAACGTGTTGTTTACTTTTATGCACGAGTAATTAAAAAACTTCTACTTCCTTTCCCCTATTTATCAGTTGATTGTTTCTTGGTTGGTCTTAATAAATCACAATCTGTTTCTTGGCTACGTGTCCCAATCTCAGCCATCCAATTGGGTTGACTGTTGTTTGTTGGATTGCAACGGTCTGATATATAATCAGACTGCTGATATTGGGACAAACGTGTGCTCTTGTCCCAGGACAAGCAGCAGATCTGTTATCGGTTGATCCTAACATTGAGTAACTCATTTGTTAATGTAGAGTTCGTGCTGCTGCTGCTGCAAAAAAATCTGGGCAAGAAGATGAAGGTAGCTCCTATGTTGGTTTTTATTCATTTTTACTTTGTTGTAAAGTGTAAACCAATTACTTGTTCAAATGTTGCTTGGCTCTGGATCTCTTAATGTTTGCAGGTGCAAGAGTGGAAAGTAGATCAGACAGTAAAAATGATGGGTTAACACCGGATTTATGTGTGATATGCTTGGTGGAGGAATACAATTCAGTTTTTCTCGAGTAAGGCTCTCACTAATTTCACAAATAAAAATGTCTTATTTCTTTAGAATCAGAGTCATAATCAGAACTTGTACTTGCATGTCAAAATGATTCTTTTTTGAGTTTTTTCATTGGTTATGAACTTATGCAGTATGAAAGAATCTCTTCTGAGTGTTTGAAATTGTTCTAATTTAAAATGATCAGAAGAAGGGTACTAATGTGATATTATGTTGACTACAATTTAAATACATGTGTGTGTTTGTGTCTACTAGTTGTTTAAGTATAATTATATATATTTATTTTCAGAAGAACTTCATTAAGAAAACTAAAACTTAATACATGTTTTAAATAGGCTCATTATTTTTTTTGGAAAGTGAAACTCCTAGAAGAAGAATTAACAACTACTTTTATCCTCTTCTAGGACTGATTAAGTCCCCTTTTAGGCATAAAACAGGAACGGTCTTATTTGTGCACATGACTCATGTTTGAATCCTATTTGATAGAGTTTCTTAGTTTTATATATTAATAATACAGAGTATATTTTCATTTACACTTGCACACACAGACACATGCATATTAAAGTTTTTTGGAGGGTACTTTGGGAATTAACATTCAATAATTACAGCACCCTCTTATTCATTTCATATTTTGATTCAGTTGTGGGCATATGTGCTGTTGCTTGGCATGCTCTTCACACTTGACACATTGCCCGCTCTGCCGCAGACGGATTGAAAAGGTGGTTCGGACCTACCGTCACTAAGCTGCATTTAGTTTTTGTTTTTACTCTGCACTTACAAAGACAGACATGCATCATCTGGATAGCTGTTTGGGATCCAACAGTTCTCACGACCGTCACAGGATGAGTTTCAGGCTTGTTGTTTCATTAGCCTATTTTTGGAGCTTCAAATTCAAGACCTGTAAATAGCACTGACCTGAAATGGTTTGCAGGTTTGGATTGTTTAGTGCAACCCATGCCCCCACCCTTTCATTCTGAAAGCATTCTCACATTTCTCGCATGTAAATGGTCATTTTGCCTTCTTATATGATCTACACGTGAGATGGTGCCATGTTTGTGGACATTCTGGCTGAAAGCCTCAAGGGGTATTCAGCTTACGCATACTCAGAACTCAGAACTGCCACTGTGCTTATTATCTCATTTCAGCGCTTACCCCCCACCATTTTACATTATTGCTGAAATTGTGTTACCAAGGAGGCAAGGATATGTCACCAACATTTCTAAATTGAAGGTGAATTTCTAAATTGCTTGATATTTTTTGTTCCAATGGATATACTACAAGTAAATAGTCCCTGGAGTCATGGTTATGCACCATTTTTATCAACTATATTAGCACCATTTTTATTTTATTGTTGAAGGTAGGGATGCACCACCCACTAGCCTCGCCACTCACTAGAGTAATTTTACCGCGTCAGAATTAAGGAGTGTCTTTTAATATCGAGAAAAGGGTCAAATAAGACTATCTACTATCATGAAATCGTCACATAAGGTCATGATTCATGAACTCAATAAAGTGTCAAATAAATACGTCTACTTATAAAAAGCAATCACATGAGTCCTAATGACTTGTTGACAACCTCATAATCTCAGTTTTAGACTTTTAGCGTATGTTTGTATATCTTTTTAAAATAGATTATAAAGTTGGTGTGAAATGTTTGGCCAAAATTGGTTTAAATACAAGATAAAGATAATGAAACATAAGCTAAAAATCGAGATTAGGAGATTGTCAACGGGTCGTTTTGACTCATTCGATTGTTTTTTATATGTAGATGCATGTATATGACACTTTATTGAGTACATGACCTTATGTGACGGTTCTGTAATAGTACAAGGCCTTATTTGACCCTTTTCTCTTTAATATCTAATTTTCTCTAATTAAACCAAAGCAATAAAATCCTACAGCATTCTCCAAACACCAGGAAAAGGATATAATATTGCTATATGGTAACGTGACAATTTTCTAGATGTCACAATTACAGAATGTCTTCTGGTCTTAATCTTTAATCATTTCCCTTATGCTTTTGATGTGTATAATATGTACACCAGGAAAAGGATATAATATTGCTATGGTAACGTGACAATTTTCTAGATGTCACAATTACAGAATGTCTTCTGGTCTTAATCTTTAATCATTTCCCTTATGCTTTTGATGTGTATAATATGTATATACCATAAGAACTTAAGATATTATGGGTCGTTTAATTTGTACATGTATCTATATTAGTCAATGCGGGATTGCTCAGTGTAAAATAGGAAAAAGGGTCAAATAAGCACTGGAATTTACAATAAAAGGTCAAATAAGCCTTTATATAGGAGGCTCGGTCCGATCGTTGTCATTTGGGGCGGTTCCCGGTAGAATTTTTTGATGAAATATTTTGAGCATATTATTCATTAAGTCTAGTTTACTCATACCAAATTTCAGCTAACAATTCAATCTGGAAGGCATTCAAATGAATTCTTGAAGATAAGTGCGCTTTTAACTGCACAGTTATCTTTAAGAATTCAATTGAATGCCTTTCCGATTGAAGTTTTAGCTGAAATTTGGTATGAGTAAACTAGACTTAATGAATAAGATGCTCAAAAAATTCTATCGGGAACCATCCCAAATGACGACGGTCAGACAGACTCTCTTATATAAGGGCTTATTTGACCTTTTTATGTAAGTTCGAGGGCCTATTTCACCATTTTCCCGTGTAAAATATATACTTAGTAATTACTAATTAGACATATATAGGGAGTATCACATTGCAGACTTACAGACTAGATTGGAAGATAACTTCTATATACTCCGTATAATCGATCTGCAAATGGTTACTTTTAATTTACATAAATAAAACGCCTAGTTAGAGTACATCAAACCAAACTGTACATAGAATTACATAATAACTCAAAACTTTTGAAAATTTTCAACTTTCTTTTGTCCATTTGATTGGGTATGTATTCGATCTCTGGTCTCCTTATACACTACCTCAGTACCCCCACATCCTTGAATTTCCAACTCCCCACAGACACATGCATGCAAGAACGTGTTGTTGTTGATGATAGATATATCAGTCTTCAAAAGAATGCTTGGAAGAACGATAAAGATCATAAGGGGCCCACAAATGGTCAACATTGCAAGCCCTCCCGGAATCTAATCTTAGCCATGGTTTGCCCTTCCCACTCCAATGAAGCAAGCTGATCGGACCGGGGTGCAAGCTCCTGCATTTGCCTTCGATGTTGTCGCCTCCCAAGCCGTGTTGGTTCCATCGGTGGTCAACGGCCATTATGTCCCCGGCAAAGACCAGCAAGAAAGGTGGCAAAGAGCCGAGGTGGTATATCCTCTTTTGTTTTTGCACTAACATCCACTCCTCCACTCTCTCTGTATATCCTCCTTCTCTCCATTTCTCCACGTCCACCACCATCACCCCGGTGTTGAAGTAACATGGCTTCCACGACGCGGTCTTCTTTTTCCCTTCTTCGAATGCGTCGACCAGTTTCCGGTCTGACCAGAACTCGTCTGTGAAGTAAACGGTAAAGTTTGCATGACAATATTCCGGCGCGGCCAAAACCCTCTCTCCGTTGTCCACTTCCCACAGCTTCATGATGTCATCCACCACGACGAGGTCGGAGTCGAGGTATATCACACGTTTCACATCCGCTGGAAGTATGTCTGCGAGGTAGACCCTTGCGTAGTTCAATGGCTGGTCTAGCGCTTGCCGTATTGATTTGGATATCAGCCCTTGGACCTTTGTGGTGTCAAAGCGGTAGACGTTAAATCTGAGGTATGGGAAGGTGGAATTAATGATGGAGAAGACCTCCGGGTGGTGGTGGGCCCACAGGAAATGGAACACGACGTTTTCCGGGCACGTCGAGTGCTGAATGATGGAAAACACGGCTGCCATTGTCCCTCTTATGTAGTTCTCGTCGAGGGTCATGGCGATGTGGATGAGGTTTGTGTCATTGCATGCGTCTCCGTTGCGAAACGCGGGGGCTTCGCGGAACAAGGGGAGGTCGCCGTCATCGGAGAGGGCGGCGGCGGGGGCATTGGCAGCGACAATCAAGGTGGTTGGGTGGGTGGGAAAGAGAGACAGGAGGCCGATGAGTAGAGGAAGAATGGAAGGAAATCTCCAAATGGCGGCCATCCTGCTGCTCTAAGCTGCATTTTAGAATGACAAGGGTTGGAAAAAGGAGGAGAAGCAGCCATTGAAGGCTGGTTAAGAGAAGGTTTAGGAGGTGCCGGTTACAAATCATTGATCACACAATAAATAGATGGTTAATTAGGAAGGAAGGACAGTTGTTGGTTGGTAGCTTGTGAGGGAGAGAGTAGATTTCGGACTCAGCGTCTATTTACACCTCTTAATTCAATTTATTGTGTTTAAACCACAAATTTCATCATGCATGTCGTAGTGTTAGCTAGGATAGCTAGCTTATTCCGATCCGTTACAGTATTAATGAGTGTGATAAATAAGAAATGCACAAATTGTAGTAGAAAGAAGGAAAAAGTTCCTAATTATTAAATCTGTTTAGTTCCCACAACAAAATTATTTAATCTTTATGAGTCAGCACAAGGTAGCCGCTCTTAATCAAAAGCTTTGACGACCATGTTTGTTAATCACCTGTTAGGATCACGGGTTAGCGATTTTTTTTGCTCGAAGAAGACTTAATTCATAAAAATAGCATTCAGCAAGGGTACAGAACTAGAAAAAAACCACAAATAACCATCCGCCCGTGGCCGAGACTGAGAGCTAACCACCTGTAAAAAAGCAGTATAACTCGCTAGACCAAATTTGGGCAATTTAGAGCTAATGACGGTTACCGCAGATTCTTTCTCCCCCCACCTTAATGCAAGAGTCTTACAACAAAGGAAACAATAAAAGTAAAACAGAACAGTCTGACCATGGAAATTAAAAAGCAAGCAAATAATAAAATTAAAATACTGCCTCCAAACCCTAGACTCTCCTGCACTCCATGGCGGCGGTTCAGGAGGGGGACGGTCCAACAATACTGAATCATCTTCCGCTCCTTTCCTTCGATCCAGATCTGATCCAGCCCCTAGCCCCACACATCGCCCATGACCTTTTGATCTCCACCATAAACGATCTTTGGCCTTCAATCTTGCTCCGTCCATTCGCCTGAGTCCCAGCCGAGACCAAGCCGCGATCGAGAACATCGTCTGTGTAACACACTGAGTCGTGGCTAGGTTTCCTAGACCCCGACAATTCCAGCTCACAATACTCATGTTTCTTCCTTGATAGAACCCTCGAACAATCGAGAGAAGAACAACCGGACACTACCGCCACCATGGACGGCGCCGGAAAAACTCCCTAGGAAAACCTAGGAGAAGACCGCGTTTTTAAGACCTGCGTATAGCTTTTTTGATCACGGGTTAGCGATTGGATTGGATGGTTGAATTAGCAAATTCGACTGATTGGTTTAGCGGTTTTGAGTGCCGGATTTGGTTTGTTGATTCTCTAGCTTCGAGTGTTTGAAAATATTAGATGTTTGTGATTAGATGTTAAAATATCAACATTACATGCATGTAAAACACATGTGAATTTATCGAACTCATTATATGATAGTTCAAACATATCAAATATTTAAATTCTAATAATTGATTTACTAAAAAGTTATTTCATTATATAAGTTAGATTCAATTGTTATTTTAAATAATTCCACTAATATTATTTCTGTAAAAGTGATGGATAAAAATGTGATTCTAAAACTATGAGTTACTATGATTTTCTTCAAAGTCTACATCGTAGTGACTACTTGTAGTTATTATGATATAAAATTTAAACACAATTACAGTCACATTTTTTCCTTAAATATAACTACGTACTAGTATAAAAATCATGAAAAAATGTGACCTATTAACTACTCCGTATTAATTACTACGGAGTATAATTGTGTTCAAAGTTTACATTGTATTTCACTATAATTGTGTTCAAAGTTTACATTGTAGTTACAAAAAAATATAATTAATTGAAAGTCTCTCACATCCTTTCTACGGTGTAACTAATTTTGGCAACTTTTTATACACAAGGTCAAACACTGTCAAGATCTAGATGGTGTGTTTGACATTGTGAATAGAAAACAACTTAAAATTTATTACTACTTGAAAAGAATGTGTGAGACTTTTTATTAATTAATTGTTTTTGTATCTATAACTCCGTTGCCACACGTGCATGGTTGACACTTTTGAATCGAAGATGCTCTAATGATCGATCTGATTCCAAACGCTAATATGAA